TATGTATATGTATATGTAGATATTTATGTTTGTCGGCCTTACAACTAAACTGATGCCCGACAGTACTCTTCTGTTTTTGGCCTCTCAATTTCCGTGGGAAGGACAACATTTATGATTATCTGCGGCTGTTCAGTATTTGCAGGCATTTGTGCAATCATAAAACACACATTGTCATAACATTTAATTGAAAACAGGCCCATCTTCAGCCGATCCTGCCTCTACTCAACTGTATCACACACACACACCCGCACACATACACATACACATGCATAGAGAAAGAGAAAAGCAGAGGTATGGAGGGAATCGACCAGAAGGAGGCATGTGACTAAGTGACGCAATTAGTTTGTCGCACGTGACGCCATTGTTGCCGTCGGGTAGCTCGTGTTGAAAGGGGCCCGGCCCATGCCAGCCCGTGCCTGCAGCGTCGGTCGTCTCATGTCGACCTCGAGTTTTGCGTTTGAGTCCGGCCGGTCGGTAGGACCCTCGAGGCGACGGTCGGCAACCGGACTTCTGCGAGGGTTTTCGAGTCGCGTCTGATCAACTTGCAAGTGAAAAGTCGAGTCTTCGCGGTTCAACATTTCATTCCGTCGGCCGGAGCTGGCAAACGAGTGAGGTGGAGGGACAAAGAGAAAGAGAGAGAGGCCGATATCAGGAATCCGTCTTGAGGAGACATGGCAACTGGGCGCCAACCATGCGGAATGTTGTGTCGTTGCGCAATCGTCCGATTGCCTGACGGGGCTCGGGTTCGAGTCCCGGCTGATGGGCCCGACTGGCCAAAGCAGGTCGGTGGGCGGCTGGGCTCAACGGACTTGCTTTCACGCTTGGCCGAGTCGTGTGCAGTCATGCGTGACCGTTGCGCGTATGCCGGCTGTGGGTTCGTCTTGAGCTCGGCGAGGATGAGACCTGAGCCGTGCCCGAAGCCAGCCGGACTCAGCCTCCCTCGGGCCGAGTCCACTCGAGCAGAAGCAGACGTCGACGAGACGGAGAGCCCCACTTGTCGGCGCGTCGACATAAACATGTACTGATGCCTCTGGAATGTATTTAGTACCACAATTCTCGGCATCGCAGACGTTATCTCTCTCTTTCCTACTCTATCTCTCTATCTCTCTATCTCTCTCTCTCCCTTTTGCTGTCCTTCTCGTCCGACTCCCCACACTTTTGCAGTCTCAGCCGGGCTTCTTCACCCCGTCTCGGCTACTCAGGTCCGCTTATTTGCTGAAAGTAGACGACAGTTTCTTTAATTGAAACGAGGCCATGCTTCAAGTTGTGCGTGAACTATGCCCACAATGCCCGATTTAAAAGCCTTTTAATGGGTCGCCACAGTCGACCGTCCCCAAGACACATTTGGTCTTTGATTTCCGCCAAACCCGATTACGGGAGGTCTCTTCGGTGGCCACCACACACACACACAAACATAAACATACACATACACACACAGAGGCACACATGTGCAAGTAAGTGTAAACAAGCATGTGAAAATGTGGATAAGTAGACATACATGCGTGCACACGTGACATGTGTCTATCTATGGTGGTGTGTGTGTGTGTGTGAATGCATATTTTCACATGGACAAGCAGACAAATGTGTATTCGTGCTGCTGGAGCATGGGATGAAAGCCAAAGTGGAAGTGTATGTTGCCTGTGACGATGCGTGATGTGGTGGGTTCGGTCAGTCGTGGTGGGAATGTGTGTGTAGGCAGGGTGGTGTGTGGGAGGGGATGTTGTCGGTTGGTATGCGTTTCGGCAACTCTTCGTCGGTCTCTAGACTCCGAGAAGCGTCTGCTGAGACGAACCGATGTTTGTCTCGTCGTTCGTGCACGAGGAGGCATTAAAGTTTATTTGTCATCTTAAACGGAAGCGTTGGAATAGATACAGCACAATACAGTCTGTTGTCACCTCGTCGGTGAGGCCACCAAAGCAATTGGGCACTCGTGGCTCGGCCGAATTGGTACCCACAAAAAAAGGGTCCATTAGGTCAGACCTGACAGCGGCCTGGGGTCGGAGGCAAAGGTGACGAGACACGAAAAGTGGTACAGACTGAAAAGGACAACCCAATCGACGAGGTTCTGCACTGACGTGAGTGGCGAAACCGCCGAGTTGACAGAGTTGCAAGGAAATGTGGCCAAAAGTTATGTTGCCAGGGCGACGAATCTGATGAGGAAGTCTGTTTGATGTTGTCGGGTGTAGAAGACATAATGAAATGCCGCCTCGTTTCGCCGACATGGTACATAATTGTTGGGTCCATCACCGTTTCGAGTGACTCGCAATGCTGGCAAGGAGCCAGACAATCAGTTGACTTTGGTTTTATGATTTGGATGAAAAATTTGGTTTCAAAGGTGGTGAAGGAGTGGTGGTTGGGAATGGTTCCAGTTAAAGTGAAAGGGTTTGATGAAGGTGAAACTTAGAAGATGGATCGCACCAGAAGACGACCTCACGACCACCTTTCGAGGTATCATTCTTTTAATCATACTCGAGCTGACGAGTCAAGAAAACATGCAAAACCGGCTCGTCCCCAAATGCTGTAAATGACAAAAGTAAAAGGATTCCGTTCGTTCACGTCAAATGTCAGCCTCGAAGCATGTGAGTGTGTCTGTCTGTGTGTGTTTATGCACATGACGGGTAGAGCTGACTCTAATTAATTGGAGCTGAAAAGTCACATCTGTCATGAAGAGGAATCGCTCGTTTCATAATTGTTGAGCTTACTTCCATTTCGAGTGAAAGTGTCGCGGGTGAAGAGATTCGAATGTCGATTCCAGCAGAAGAAGACGACGCATCCCTCTCGACCTGCTGTCGATTGGCTTCACTGGAGCATTCATGCTGAAGCGATTCGATTCCGGTGAAAACGTGCTAATCTTTCGTCATCAAAGCGAGGTGTCATCCTTACAACCCAATTCAAGATGACTGGAATCAATCAAATCACTTTACACCTCACCAGAGGTCAGATACAGAGCATAGATACAGCTTTTTAGGGATGTTCCGGTGAGCTTTCTTGACTGGTCAGCTTGAATTTGGTCGTAAGGATGATAGCTTGCTTTGATGCTGTTCGTCACATGACGGACGAAATTTAGCACAACGTCATCAAGAATGATCCAGTGAAGCTGGTCAAGAGGAATCCGCCGTCGTCTTCCGGTGGAATCGACCTTCGAATCTCTTCAACAAACATGTTCACTCGAAATGGAAGCAAGCTCAACAAAGCGATAGCTGTTCTCGGCCATCAAGATTTGATGACCAGAATCACCTACATCATATAGAAATATACAAATATGTATGAATATATTTTAAGCATCACTCAAAAGGAAGTGTGGACAGACGTCACTTTTCTGTTCTAGTTCACTCGAGCCGTCACTGTTGCTTTCCTACATCTATCAACGCACATGAGATCATCTAAACACACACAAGCAGACACACTCACATGCTTGGAGGTTGACATGTGACTTGAACCAACCAAATCACTTCATACATCATCAAAGAACATTTAAGGATAGGTCTTCTTGACT